CGACAGTAGAGTGGCCTTTCTCGCTATTCTCTGGGAAGTTTAAAATCCTGAGATTTGCTCTCCGTGACCGGTTTTCCAAGTCATCAACTCGATCCAGAAGCGTCGCATTTTGCTCTTTCAGAGTTTTGATGGTTTTTTCGGCCTCAGACAGCGCTGAGAAATTATCGCTCGTGAGTGTCTCCGTGGCACACAGGCGGGACTGAAAACTTGCCAGCGTCTCTGTTAAAGCATTCACCGATGTCTGAAGCGGCACCATGGATTCTTGAATCAGAGCTGAGATGTCTTCTTTTATCGAAGCTCGTTCCTTTGTTAACTCCGTTACCAGCTGGCTCATAGAGACACCATCGTTATCTGCAGGGATTTCTTTAGATTTCCCTGCGCTAGCCATGGTAGCTAATTTGCTAGCTATGCTGGTTCTCCTTGTTGGCGGGGCATTTACTACTGATTTGTTCTTGCTCATCTTGCTGTATCAATATGATTGCACGAAGCACTGTTTTAACACTTATAAAAAATGTTTTAGATCACTTAAATGGCACTATCGGTCTTTGTCAGTCACGTGCGTTTATTATGTGTGACGTCACCGAGGCGCCATTTAGAAGGTTTCGTTGCATTGAGCAGTGAACTAAAAGTAGCCGTGCAGTAAAGACCGATTAAATCATCATACTGGAGAAACAGATGCAAACCAAGTAGATACGGTACCGAGATAATCTCAGCAAATTTTTTTAGGAACCGTAATTTATCACTGATGATGATTAACGATTAACACTGATCCATACTAAGGTTACCTGACGCAAAAAGTTGAGTGCCACCGGCATCGCTGCCTCCAACCTCGTTGGATATATGATTATCTTCATTTGGCTGATAACAAGTACTGATAAGTACTAATAACAAGGAGACAATCAAAAACACATTTATGAAAATGGCATTATACATACTTTATTAATGCAACACAGTGTTAAAAATCAGTTTCAAAATGCATAACAGAAGATGACAAGCATAATGAATCATCAACACACGGTTTTCTTAAGTGGACACAGTGCAAGTACTACAAAGAAAGCTGAATAAATGAATAATAATAGTAATAGTAATATGATTTGATGCTCCTGCCAAACATTTCTGATGACCCTTTCTGCATGGATTCTTAGTGCTAGACGATCTGTCCAATACTAAATAGTGCTTGTAGGTAGAAGACATTTTGACACTTTCACACTGAATGGTTTCTCTGTGGAAATCTCAAAACAGTCCATCACTGCTATTCGGTGTCCAAAGAACTCCACAAACTAGTGAGGCATAATTCTGTGCCTGTCAAAGTTGTCTAAAACGGTGTTTGTGCAGGCAGATCCAATCTGAGGTGCATAAGGTTAACAAGTATTTAAAATTAAGTGAGAAGTTTTCTTATTTCTGGCATGAAAAGCAGCATAAGGCAATAAAAGCCTTCATGGCATGGATTCTCAACTCTAGCCCTCAGAGTCCACTTCCTATAGAATTTAGCTCCAACCTCAATCAAACTCACCTGCCTGTAACTTTCTAGTAATCGCAAGGCAATAAAAGCCTTCATGACATGGATTCTCAACTCTAGCCCTCAGAGTCCACTTCCTATAGAATTTAGCTCCAACCTCAATCAAACTCACCTGCCTGTAACTTTCTAGTAATCGTGAAGATCTTGGTTAGCCTGTGCAGGTGTATTTTATTCGGGTCGGATCTCAACTCTGCAGTAAAGTGGACCTCAAGGGCCAGAGTTGAGAACCCATGTAATAAAGGGCCCCAAGTTTGGCATACCTGTATAATGCTTTACTTTAAGATCACTGAAAAACTATCAGACATCCTGAGTTTACGCCACAGCAGTCAGTTTTTTCTGTGCACACACAAGTAAGTTACATTCAGTTAGTGACACTGAGTGGTGTCCCGTGAAGCCGACCATCTCCTCCAGCCTGGTGGATCATCGTCTCAGCTGGCTGCAACTGCTCCCACTTACTGTTTAGTCACACCTAGCCTAACTATATGAAATGAAAATGAACAAATGTAGTCAGTACTTTTTAAAATTGTAAGAAATAAAAATGAGAAACATTAGAAAATGATTTTAGTGAAGTATTCAGTTTAAATTACACTTAAGTTAAGTACAAACCCCCCAAAACAATATTTAA